AAACAAAACTGCCTTTGGTGTTCCACGTGCGTAAATGCTAAGTCAATAAATTAATCGCTATCGATATACATAGTTATCGATTTTTCCATATCTAAGTATATTTAACGGCATTCTTCAATGCCTGATGGGTGCACATATTTCATACAAAAAATCTTTGCGCATTTTTATTTGACCACTCATTCCTTCTTTATTTATCCATCGATTTTCTTCATTAGTAACTTGATTTTTTTATAACAGAACAGGCTTTAGCACAAGGGCAAAAATTTGACACAGAACCTGTTATTTTTTAAATTTTTCTTCTGTTAAAGTGTTTTTTTTTTTAATATATTCATCAAAAAAAAAAAAACAATCTGGATTGATTAATTAATTTGTCAGAAACTATCAGACCTATCGAAAAGTGATGTAGAGTTTTGTTAGCTTTCATTTGCTATAATTCATATTAAGATTGTTAAATTGGTTCGTAAGATATACGTGAAAAAGTGTAACCACTTTTTGTTTAAAGCTGTTATTCAGGTAAATTGAAAATATCTTGAAAACCTAACCATAGAATAAAAAATTAAGTCGATTTTCAGAATCAGCGAGCAATTCTTTATAGGAATTTGATAGCGGCATCCATCAAAAATATTTGCTGTAAACCAGTGTAATTTGACAATTAGCGTTTTTTTATAAACAATTTAACTTTTACCGAAATACCTGAAATTTGCCTTTTTATGGTGTATTCAATAATTTTTTTGTTGGAAAAAATTCACTTTTTTTTAATGTTTAATGGCTGATTTTTTCGTTTGAATACGTGTATATTCTGCACTTCACAGACGCTTTTTCATAATTCGGATATACAAAAAAAAAAATGTTATAATCATTTTTACAGGTTGCCCCTGGCGGGATTTGAACCCGCTTCTTTTGAAAGTTAGCAATTAACACGGCAAGCATCTCTGCACACTCAGCTACAGCCGCTTTATAAATGTGTTTTCAAATGTTCGAATTGAATACATTTTCTTCGTAATTCTATTTGGTTCTGCACTTTACGGATGCTTTTTCGTAACTAAGAAAACACAAAAACAGAAAAAATACTAGTAATTTTTAGCAAAAAAAAAAAAACCGACTTCAACTCCCATATAAAAAAAAAATATATATATATATATATCTCATGATCCGCTGATCGGATCTTAACCAGATTAGTATGGGACCACCTCTGAGACACTACCTTTCCGATGCAAGAATTATCGAAATCGGTTGACGTGGTCCAAAGTTATGCGGTAACATACATAAAAAAAAAAAAAAAATATTCCGACGAACTGATAACCTCCTCCTTTTTTAGTACAAATGCGTGCACTAATTTCATCGTGCGAGAACCTTACATGCAGTCGGCGTAGAGTTGAAAGGTTTCCCCCTGTCAAGCACGTAGTGCCGTATGGATTCGTTCACTTTGGGTCAAACGAAATGGATTATCGACGTTTTTTAGTGCGCGATGTTAAGGGGCATGGTCCAACTAGTATAAGTATCATCCTATCTTCGGAATTTATTCCTGTTGCTATGGCAACAGCCTGACAAGATATCAAAATTAGATCTTTTCAGACTGCATTTGCATTTACTTAATCTTTGGGTTACAATTAAAGACCTCCTCCTAATTTCAATTAAGTTGGCACTTAGATGATGGACTTGCTCGGAATTCACTTACATAAAGGGTACCTTGTCGGTTATAGCTTTTTCAAAAATTTGAGTAAATGGAGATGAAATACATGATCGATCTAGTTTTTCGTTCCTTAACCCGGAGGGGCTTCGTAATTTTATGGATCATTTTATGATACAACCTCATGCTACAGATGTCGGTTAGTCGAAGTCCGTCAGCGTTAAACATATTCGTTCCCATATAGTACCCATTACTATTCTTCACTGGAGTGCAATAGGGTATAGTCGTAGCGCTAGCTATGCAGTTACAGTGGCACGGCTTTACTCAATCCCGACTCGTGCGTCCACGTTCGCGTTCTCTGTACAAGCGGCCCGCTTTACAAATGTGTATCCGGTGGAAAAACCATCCACTCCAGCAATGGTTGTGCGCTGGGCTTGGGACCCGCCACGTAAAAAAATATATCCAATGAAAAGACTAAAAAATTCCTTGGATAACTGCATCTCCGCTCGTTGACGACATCCGCAAACGGAACAAGGACTATGATTTACGGATATGCACTTGGAATGTCCGGACCCTCTATAGGAAAGGTGCCTCTATTCAATTGCTAAATGTCATCACAAAATACCAGGCTGACATCACCACAGGTCAAGAAATGCGATGGACGGGGCATGGCTTCAAAAAATCTACAGCATGCGAAATCTACTATAGCTGTTATGAGACGGCGCACAAATTTGGTGTTGAATTTGTGGTTGGGCGGAGACTCCGACACCTTGTCTCCCGTTTCACGCCCTTCAGTGAGCGAATCGCCCCAATCCGCATAAAGGCGAAATTTAATAACAACAGCCTATTTTGTGTGACCGCCCGATGGAAGAGAAGGACGATGACAACACCTCCGACAACGGAGAGAGACTGATCGACTTCGCCGCGGCACGGAACATGCTAGTCAGTAGCAGTGTTGCCATTTTAGCCGTTTTCCGGCTAGATTTAGCCGGTTGCGATAGCAAACAGCCGGAGAAATTTCGATTTAGCCGGCAGCCGATTTGTTAGCCGTTTTGCAGAAAAAGTTAACCGTTTTCAGCCGATTTTGCTATTTACCTTGTTTCTTAAATTCTGCTTCTTAAATTTCAAATATGTATATGTGTTTCCATTTTTGACTAAGCGACCCAAAATCTGTTAGAAATGGCCTTATCGTGGAGAAAATTTTCATGTCAGGCAGGTTTGTATGAAATTGGGCCGATTTCGCTTATTTTTATTTTAAACGAAGAAGGGATTTTCTTCATAAAATGTTTGTTATAAATGTCTGAATTTTAAGTGTGAAGTTTTATTCGCAAACTTAGAAAATAGGAAATTGTTTCATTGTTAAGACACTTCAGATGCGTTTGTGTTTGGATATAGTTCCAACAAACAGAATAAATATTACATGTAGATATTGTCTTCCCAGATAGCCGATATTCAATTCTGCCTAAATTACAAAACATTATTTTTGCCCCTCCCAAAGGTTTATGGTAAGGGAAAAATTGATATTTTCAAGCACTATGTACACATATGTATTTTTTTAAACAAACTTTTTTGCTGAGAACTTATTTAAATTCCAAAAACCGAATGACAACTTGAATTAAAGGAACCAACACTGAAGTGAGTCAAAATGAAAATAAAAGAGCACAAATTTCTATGTAAAGCAAAACTCTCTGGGAATCCTACGAGAGATCTGCTGGTCATATGACCGGTCATCCAAATGGGAGATCTGCAGTCTTTTGGCATCATATTTTACATCAGAATTGAAGGGATTTCTAAAAATTGGATTTTTAAAAATTTGTTCAGAGGGGCCAAAAACAGGATCTACGTGTATATATCTTGTCAGTCCGACTTTCTTCAACTTACGTTTGAATTTCTTTGTCGGGTTTACTATATCGACTGTGGTTGAGATTGCATTCCGATTAAGAATACAGTTTTTTTTTGCCGAGTACCTTTCAAATCATTGGAATTAACTAAATTAATTAAGTAAACAAGTATTAACTTACATTTTTCATTTTAAAATCGCTCCAGTTTGTAAATTTTTAAATTTAACGAACTTGTTTATTAAAATTATCGTCGACAAAAAATCCAACCATGTGCCACAATCATATATTTTTCCTAATTGCAAATTCTTGCTGGCAAAATATTTTCCGGCTCGAATTTGTAACTTCTCTCCAAGAAATAGTCTTTTTACTCGTGATTTATTTAAATAAAACATGTGAAATTTAGTTGATATGTTTTAGCCGTTTTTAGCCGGTTTTATTTGTCAATTTAGCCGGTTCGTCCAAAATGTTCTGGCAACACTGGTCAGTAGTACCAAACACCAGCATCGAAACATCCATAAATCAATAACTCTTGCCAACAGGTGCTACTTTGGGCTCGGTAGACAATTGAAACGCAGAGCCCTCTCTCGACGAACGAAAATCACGCTCTACAAATTTCTCATCATGCCCGTCCTTCTATAAGGCGCAGAAACTTTAACGATGTCGAACAAAGATGAGAAGGCTTTGGGGGCTTTCGAGAGAAGTATTGTATGTAAGATCTACGGCCCTATTTTCGGAGACGATGGGTATCGGAGAAGATGGCATGACGAACTGTACGAGCTTCTTAACAACATGGACATAGTTAAGCGCATAAAAATACAGCGATTGCGCTGGCTTGGGCATAATGTACGCATGGATGACGGCGCTCAGTTGAAAAGACCCTTTGCCTCGGCACCCATGAGTGGACAACGAAAGAAAGGGCGCTCTCGAACGCAATGGAAGGGCCAAGTGCAGAAGAACATGTCTGCGCTCGAGATAACCAACTGGCGCAAATTCGCACAGGACAGAAGCAGTTGGAGAAGCTTCTTGGTCTCCGCCAAAACCGACAACGGTTGTAGTGCCAAATAAGAAGAATAACATTCTTCTTCATTCTAAATGAACTTGAGACCCAACGCCATAGACAGCAGAGGTGTTCCTTCAGAACACCCTAGAGCAACTCGTCGGATGTCTAACAATAGCCCGAAGGTGTGCAGATATCCTCCACACCTAGGTAGATCAGCTAGATAAATTTTCGCCTAAAACCATAGTTGACACTTGTGAATGGTATATGTATGTCCCCCGGCTGTACTGCCTTGCCTGCCTTTTGGAGGATGAGACTGTGAGAATTTGTTTATAGTATGCCTATTCTTATTTATGTTCGCATAACAACAATTAACGACACATATTTTCATCGCATCACATTCGTTACGCCTAATCAACTTAAAAGCAAAAGTGATTATTTTGTTGATACTTTTAATAGGAACGGTCCAACGCCTACACTTTGTAAAGCTCACTAAATAATCTTAATTAATTTGAATATTTATAAGCATGACACAATGTGAACAATGGAACCATGAAATTCATGGAAAGCAAAGAAACCCGGAAAATTTAATTTTAGCTATAGCATGGCGTCAATTAACGCGAGAAAAATGTAGGAACATTTGAATTATTAGTACATATTTTCAACTAAATGAGAATTTCGCGCGAGATATAAAATGCTAGTTAAGCCATCACAGAAGTTCAGTGTCAGTTGAGGTTCAGAATTTAAAGCAATAAATAAACCAAATAAAAGCTAAATGAAGGCACAGGAGCGCGTATTTTTATTTCTGCCGCTAATAGGTCTACTGGCAATACAGGTGTGATGATGTGATAGAAAAAAAAAAATATATATATATAAATATAGCCAAAAAGTTAAAAATACAATGGTTTATTTTGCAGTCGGTGGCAGCGCACCCGCATCTTTCCTTTAGCGCCCTGTACGCTTCGGAAGAGGATGGCTTTATTACGAATGCCGAGTATGCAGAACGTTCGCTCTCCGCAGAGGCACGGCGCTCAGCAGAAGAGTTGGAGAAGTCAAAGGAAGCGAATAGCAGTAACTGCACTCGAGCGGGCGGTGATCACGTAACACCGAAAACTAGTGAACTAACCTACAAAATATTCGTGAAAGTTCTGATGCGTGACTCACGCCAAGTGGTTAAAAATAAATTAAGAGAGCTCAAAGAAAGTCACAATGGCAGCGGTGCAGATATTTCTTACTTTTTCGTTGTGTTAAAGAAGATCAACAAATTGCGATTGGTGAATGAATCGCAGGAGGGCCAAGTGATGCACGATGCCATTAGGGAAATCGTCACTGAGAAACACGACAATTCAGAGGATGCGACAGCTTGGCTCAATAAAATGTTTGATCGCATATTCTGTCTGGCGCTCAAAGCGAATTCCGATGAAGACATAGACGGCTTGGCGGACAGCTTCACGATCGAGGAGGAAATCAGTCAACACTTCAACGTCTTCATACAATTTTGGCTAAATTACACGCCCACAAAAAACACCAAGGACAGCACAGTTGATGCAACAGCAGAAACGGATCGTGTGCCAAATGAAACGCTATGTGTGGTTGACATCCCTAATTTGCCTTTGAACACAACGAATATCACGCACAGCATTTTCGCAGAAATAGTCATACGCGATTCGCAAAAAGTAGCTCAGAGAAAGTTAGATGAACTAAAGTCGCTGGAATCGGAGCAGTACAAATGGTATATTGCCGATTTGACGAAAATACTCGAGCACATTGACAACCGCTTATATGACAATACAACGGAGGATGGTGAACTTATTTACAAGTCGCTGAAGAGCATCAATGAAATGAACGGCGAAGATGACTCAACATGGCTGGATCACATCGTTGATCGCATCTTCTGCATAGCAAAAGAAGTGCGCATGGAAAGCGAAATGAAGAGTGCAGCTGAGAGTATTTCGATAGAGGAAACTATTGAAGGGCACTTTGAAATTTTCAAACAATTGTGGTTGAATTGTAAAAATTTGTATATTCATAGAGGCGAAAGCATATACAAGCTTTGTAAGAGTCAGCGAAAGTACTACGATGAGTAGATGGGCATGTACGTAGGTGAAGTTTCCTAATAGATTTTGGTTTATGAAATTTCCGGTTAAAATAGAAAAACCCTAAAAATCACTAAAACATGTCTAGCTTTGTAAAGTAACTAAATGCATACATATACATTAGCGTGGGCCGAAAATTCGCTTTCATAATATGGTTCATTATGTTCTAAAATAAATATGTGCGAAATGAAGATTTTTGATCAATATCTTAGGCTCGTCCAAGTCCATATAAGTTCAATGTGCTCAAAATTTTTTTTTTTATTTTTAGCTTCCTACGATCGCAAATTTAATGCTCTAGAAAAAAGGTTAGCATACCAAATTATTTAGGGCTAATGCTCTCGAAAATAATTGTAATTTTAGTGAAATTATTAAATTTTTCAGTTTTTTTTTCATTTATGTGCGAAAAATAATTTATAAATTACTCATTATATAAGAAATTAAATTTATCACAAGAAAGTCCTTTTTGTGAAGAAAACACACTTACATACATATATTGTGTTTTTTTAATAAATTTTTAATAAAATCAATTTTCCAGTCTTTATGTTAACTTTCAATATAATTGAAAAATCAGAAATTTAGAGCTAATTTAATAGCAATTTTTTGATTTTAATTTCATAAAATTAAAAACGTGGGGTTCACGTGATGGACATAAATTGTTTATAACAAAAAAATTTAAATTTGGGTTGATCAAACATTTTATGAAAAAACATTAAATTACTGTGTTTTCTTAACAAAAAAGGACTTTTTTGTGAAGAATTGAGTTTATTAAATATTTTTCACCCATAAATAAAAATTCTAAATTAATAAATAAATTACATACAATTTTTTATTTATTTAAGATTGCAATTATATCTGAAAGCATTAGTTCTACACTATTTGGTATACTAACCTTTTTTGTAGGTAATTAAATTGGCAATCGAAATAAGCTAAGAGTTTTTTTTAACATATTGAACTTGGGCGAGCCTAAAATATTGACCGAAATTTTTTACTTTTCGCATAGATTTTTTGCAGAGCCTAATGAACCATATTTTTTCTATTAACCAGAGGAATTTTTAAAATAGGCGGATTTTCGGCCCACGCTAATATACCTACATAAATATATACACAATTGGCTCTATGTGCTATAAAATATCTTTAAGTATTACTATTTATGTAAATAAAATTCTATTTAATACATTACAAGTTTAACAACAGTTTCTTCTTACACTGAATAGCTAAGAATTCATTGCAAATAAAAGCAGTTATTGGTTAAAGTGGCGAGTCACAAATTAAAGTGAAATAACAGAACTGACCTGATTACTGTAAGTGTTTTTCATGGATGCGATGTAAAGCGTTAATTGCGAAAATACATTATATTTCTTAATTTGAGTCTTTTTTACTGGCTAGCAGTTTTGCTCTGACTAGAAATGTATTTAATCTTAAAAAAAAAAAATCGCTTATGGTAAACTTCATAGTGGTAGATATTTATAAAAGCGCTTATGGTGTTTGTATGATAAAAGTGCAACATTTTCTACACTTGTTAAAATAAGGGACCGCAACGGCTATGATCTTTATAACAAAAATCATAATTAACCGGTGGTCGCTGGTTAAGCATAATCGTTATTTTTAGATTTTAATTTTTTTTCGGTCAGATTTTGATTGTTATTTTAGATTTCTATTTTTCGATCCTATAAAGGTTATCATTTTAATTTAATGGAATTAAACTAAATTTGTATGTTCTAGTGGAAGTGAGTTGTGTAATTTTATTGAAATTATTGAAATATAGTTGTCGAAAAAATTATAGCCGAACCACATATTAAGAAATTTTACTATTTATTATTTATTTTTGTTAATTAATTTTAGTTATTTTAGTTAGTATAACAAAGTGCAAGCTTCAAATGGATAAAAATTACCGCTGATTTTTTGTTTGTCGAAGTTGTTACGGTCTTATTCCATATAAAAATAAATTGTGTTTATTCGTTATATGGAAGCAAATGCGTAAAAAAATACTCAAAATTGTTCTAAGAAATTTAATAAAAGCTGTATATTACACGTTGTTTGTTAAAACATTAACTATATTTTTATTCAAAAAAATACTAAAATTAAATAACAAAAAAAAATTTTTAAACTTGTCAATATGTGGTGCGGTTATAATTTTTCCATCACTGTAAGTTGCAAATTAGTTGGTGGAATCGTGAGTTTTTAAGTTAATATTTTTTTTTTTGTTATTTTTGAAATCCTTTTCCAGGGCACAGGAAATGTTGCCATATAATGAGGCAGCATTTGCACTGAGAAAAGAAAACGCTTGTAGGGAGTCGTATTGGTACGGTGACCATTCGTACCGATTTTGGCGGGACAGTACTGATTTTGAAAAAATCGTCCCACTGGATATTTTTTAAAAGTCGGGACGTATAAGTGTCCCGATTTTTCATATTTTTACCGATAATGTCCCGATTTCCAATGTTTTCTTTATTAATTTAAGAGTTTTCCTGTACTCTGACCCAAAAACAATTTTTCTTACAAACGTGGTAGCACATTCGTCATCACAAAAACATTGATTATATGGGGACCATAAACATAGCCAGCATTCTGTCAAACTCTGTACTCTCCCTATATTGCAGTCTATCAATCTTGGCTGCATTTTTTTTAAGGTTGTTATGTTTATTTGTAAAGTTTTTTTTTTCATGAAATGGTTCTAACTTGAATTTAGTAAAATTATAAAAAATAATACCAATTCTCTCAAAGAAATCAAGGATTTGAAAATTATAAGCTGTATATACTGTGGCAAAAAAATAAATATTAATAAAAAAATAATAAATATCGAATATACTTTGCAGCGGTAAGTCCAAGCTACTTCAGACTTGTTCTTTACAAACAAACAATTACTCAAACAATTCTGAAAAATCTGTTTAAAATGTTTGCAATTTTTATCAACATTTGTTAAAAATTCAAAGTTTTTAAATTTTAGTATACATTGTTCCTTTGTACATATTACTCTATCTTTCATAGAAAATAATACTAAAAATTTCAAACAAAGAAAAGTGGCCAAAACCGGCCAAAATGTCTATTCCCTATTTATATTCTCGCCACCGTATATATTGTGTGTATACATTTTTGCGATAATTTTTCAAGTTTGTTTCTCTTTGTTTTATTTTAAATAAAACTGTATTAAAAGATTTTTTGTCTTTTTATTCTAAAAACAAAATTGTATGTTCGGATTTGATGCATTGCAAATGTCCCGATTTTTGTCAACCGAAATCTGGCCACCGTACATATGTATATGGTAGTTTTTTGTATGTACTATATCTGATAACTACAAACAGCTGTGGTTTTCGACTAATAACTGTAACTTGGCAATCCAGTATTACCAACAAAATTTTAAGTCTTCATCCTGACCATTGCCACATTCCCTTCTTTTAAAAGTACTTTTATTATGCTCATGAAATTTATTTAAATTTCGAAGGGCTGCACTTTTTTTTACACCGTTGTATTTTCTGAACTTAAGGCCTTTTGCAAGAGCCTAATGTATGCAGGTAAACGATATTATCATACATTCATGGCTTGAAAGATAAGATATTTTTATACAAAATATAAAAGGAACAGTCTAGCGTCTTGGTCTGCAGGCTGTATCGGAGACACAGCCGCTAAATTCAAATGTAGAATACATACGTGGCATGGTTAGTCAAAAACGAAAGCACACACTAAGAAAAAATATCGATAACAAAAGCGATAATAATATCGATATAAAAATCGATAACGAAATCTAAAATAATATCGATAGCAAAATCGATAAAAATATCGATAACAAAATCAATAAAAATATCGATAACCAAATCAATAAAAATATCGATAACAAAATCGTTAAAAAATATCTTTTATTATATCGACAAGTTCCGAAAATATCGACAGCAAAATCAATAAAAAAACCGATAAAATAATGATTATTATATCGATAAGTCTCGAGAATTCCGAAAATCTCTAAAATTCCGAAATAGTCCCCAGATTGAGTCTCGGTCTATATCATTTTCTCTATAATTACCTTTATTTTAATCTTTCTTCCTCTATCTCCGTATTTACTTTTATCGGTATACTCAT